GGCGGTCAAAAAGGCAAATAGGATGCTAAGAATTATTAGGAAAGAGATAGAAAATAAGAACCAGAATATCTTACTGCCCTGTATAAAACTATGGTATGCCCACATCTTGAATACTGTGTACAGATGTGGTCTCCTCACCTCAAAAAAGATATTTTGGCCTTGGAAAGGGTTCAGAAAAGGGCAACTAAAATGATTAGGGGTTTGGAACGGGTCCCATATGAGGAGAGGCTAAAGAGACTGGGACTTTTCAGTTTAGAAAAGAGGAGAGTGAGGGGGGATATGATAGAGGTCTATAAAATCATGAGTGGTGTGGAGAGGGCTGATAAAGAAAAGTTATTTATTAGTTCCCTAAATAGAAGAACTAGAGGACACCAAATGAAATTAAAGGGTAGCAGGTTTAAAACTAATAAAAGAAAGTTCTTCTTCACACAGCGTGTAGTCAACCTGTGGAACTCCTTGCCAGAGGAGGCTGTGAAGGCTAGGACTATAATAGAGTTTAAAGAGAAGCTAGATAATTTCATGGAGGTTAGGTCCATAAAAGGCTATTAGCCAGGGGATAAAATGGTGTCCTTGGCTGGAGAAGGATGGCAGGAGACAAATCGCTTGATCATTGTCTTCGGTCCACCCTCTCTGGGGCACCTGGTGCTGGCCACTGTCGGCAGACAGGATACTGGGCTAGAAGGACCTTTGGTCTGACCCAGTACGGCCGTTCTTATGTTCTTATGTTCTAGTGAGAGATGGATCAGTGACAAGCCCGGCGTAATAGGGAAAAAAATCCACATTCCTTCTCTTTATTGACTGTATCAACAGGAATTCCAAAGTTGGATCACTCATTGATATCGCTCTTTCTATGCAAATCTCACCTATCCCATGGCTCTCCATATTCTTTCAGATGTAAGGGTCTAAGATGGAATAGGCGGTGGTGACCTGTGACTTTTGCCTCCCGTGTCATGAGCACTGGAGACAGATGATGAGCGGCACCTTCACTTGATGAACACTTTGATGATCCTCGCGCACAGGTGTTTGCTTTTCACACTGTACACGATCGGGTTCATCAGGGGTGGGATCAGCAGCGAGACGTAGCCCAGGAGAACCTGAAGCAAGGGAGAAGAACTGTTCCCAAATCTGTTTATCACAGAGATGCTGATGGCAGGTGTGTAGAAGAGCAGGACAGCACACAGGTGGGAGACGCAGGTGTTCAGGGCCGTGAGGGTTTCCATGCGGGACGCGATGCTCAGCACTGTTTTGATGATCATCACATAGGACAGGAAGATGAGCAGAGCGTCCAACCCCATTGTTAAGATTTTAATGAACAAGCCATAGATGCTGTTGATTCTGACATCTGAACAAGCCAAATTCATGACGTCCTGGTGCAGGCAATAGGAACTGGAGAGGACATTGTTTCGACAGTATTGGAACCGTTTCAGAAGAAAAGGCAGTGGGAGTACTAGAGTCACTCCTCTTAGGACACTCACCAGCCCCATCTTGGCTACTCTCGGCAAGGTTAAGATGGAAGCGTATCTCAGAGGGTTACAGATGGCGATGAAGCGGTCAATGGCCATCAATAAGAGCACAGCAGATTCTGTGCCTTGAAGCACAGCAATGAAGTACAACTGGGCTAAACAGGCATTGAGGTTGATCTCCCTGGAGTTAAACAAGTACACGCCCAGTATTGTCGGCATGGTGGCTATCAAATAGCCAAGGTCTGTGAGGGCCAACATGGAAAGGAAAATGTACATGGGCTCATGGAGACTTGGGTCTGTTTTTATAATGAACAGAATGACTGAATTACCTAACGTTGAAATAACATACATGAAGCAGAAGGGAACAGAGATCCAGAGATAGACGTCTTCCTGCCCAGGTATCCCGCTAAGAAGGAACACGGCATAGTTCAATCTGGTGTCATTGGCAGCTGACATCCTGTACTAGTCAGGTTCAAAGAGTTTCGAATTTTTTTTCCTGAAAAGAACAAGAATAAAATGAATATTTAAAGAGACATCTTTGTGCTGTCAGTGCAAGACTAAAGATTCCCAGAAGCTCAAAATCAGCAAAAATATAGTCTTGGATTTACACCACCAATAGGGAGAGAGGCACTGCCAGACTGGATCAGACCTGCAATCAGTCTAATCCAGTATCTGTTAGGGTATGTCTACATTACAAAGTGAAGTCGAACTAACAGCCGTTAGTTCAAATTAACTTTCATAGCATCTATACATGCAAACAAATTGAACTAGCGGAGCGCTTAATTCGAACTAGGTAAACCTCGTTTTACAAGGACTAATGCCCATTTCGAATTAAGTAGTTCAAATTAAGGGCTGTGTAGCCACTTAATTCGAACCAGTTGGAGGCTAGCCCTTCCCAGCTTGCCCTGGTGGCCACTCTGGGCACAACCAGGGAAACTCTTCTGCCCCCCTCCCGGCCCCGGAGCCCTTAAAGGGGCACAGTCTGGCTACAGTGCCTGTGCCAGGTGCAAGTCTGCCAGCACCCAGCCAGCAGACCCTGCACCTGGCACGGCACGAACCCGCCA